GAAAAATTACTTAATGGTAATAGTGGTGGTGGGGAACCCTTAGTACTTTAATATTTGGATGAAATGGGATGATGTGATTAAAAACAAAATCTAGCACATGCTAATGCTCCTTCTATCCTGTTTCCCCGAAAATAAGAGTGTCTTATATTATTTTTTTTCTCCCAAAGTTGCACTAGGTCTTATTTTCAGGGGATGTCTTATCTTTCCATGCACTAGGTCTTATTTTCGGAGGATGTCTTATTTTCGGGGAAACACGGTAGTTGCACGTTGCAAGTAGCTAAATTAGTGAATAAGTGTCTTTTTAGAAATAATCTGTAATAAAACTGTAATATGCAAATTAGACCGGATGTCTTTCATTCCAGACAAAGTCGCAGTGGGAGCGGGCCACAGCAGAGGTGGCGGAGGCTCCTGGAAGCAGTGTCATGGGCCAAGGCCCTTGCACTAATTTTGTGCATTGAGCCTCTAGTTTTAAATATAACTATAAAATGCCATTCAGATCTAACAGTAACTCTTATCATATGGATCTTTGTATGAAATGGTGCAAGAATCTACATTAATGAGAACAAAATCGATACTGAACTGAATGCCACTGGGAACTCTTGGTTAGGCCCATCTAGTGCATGCTTCATAAATTTTTATGTTGTTTATATGTGTGCTGTGGTTTACAGTCTGGTCTTTGCATTAATTTGCCATTGTCTTTCTCTCAAATATTAATGAAGTGTAGAAGTCCAAGCAGGCATTTTTAAGGTAGACTTAAAGCTTTTCTTTTAAAAAATAATTTTCTGAAAGATGGAAACCACTTCACTAGTGATTGCCAGCAAAATCTCCTAATGTCTTTCTATAAGCTGTTTAAGCTTAGTATTAGAAATTAGGGCTAGAGGATTTAATTAACCAGCTCACAGGATGCAGTCTCTTTAATTTAGGATTTCCCTTTGAGAAAATAATGTAGTTGAGAAGGAATTTCATATTTTAGATTAAGTTGGTTTTTGAGTTGAGTTTATTGCCTCCATCTTGGGCCCTTAAAGCGTCAGTACTGCTGATCTGGAAATTAAGCACAATTTTAATTAAAACATTTTTTTTTTAAATGGATGGTTGCAACATGGTGAGTTGGATTTTGTGTGCTATAGTTCTCAGAGTTAGGAAAGATAAAAGTTAGGTTTTGAGGGGGCCAATGATTAATTCACCTATTCACCAAGGACACATAATCAGGTATTGGTTACCATACATTTAGCCAGTGTAGTGGGTTTAGTTAACCAATGAATATACTTTGTTATGAGAGTGTTAAATGTTAATACTTTTGCGTTGTTTAGCCTTAGCTTAAAAAAATACAAAAAAAACTCTCTCATAACCCTTGCCACCCTTTCAGCCATAACATTACATTACTTGGTTTCTGCCTTTAATTTCCCTGGGGTTCTTTTTATTTAGGAAAAGGGCAAAAGATGTATTTGTGTAGGTACTACACCAGTACTTCTGTTAAATTCCTTTTCAACAAAGAATATGTTACTAGAGCGCTTCATGCACAGGCAGCATATTTTTCTGAAAAGAATGTGCCTTGAAAGCAGTAGTTTTCAGTGTATATTTATGTCTGCCAGATTATTTTAGCTTAAAATAATGGTTTGAATTTGAAACAATTTTTCAGTTAACTGAGCACATACAGATATAAGCACAAAATTGTATATCTTGAAACAGTTGTCTTTCCAGTCTGATGTGGGTCTCCTTTAAAGTGCAACTAAAATCTAACTTTAGATATTGAAAATACTAGTAAGCTCTCAAAGAAAGCTTATTTTAGACTATCAGTGAATAAATAAATATTTGCTTTCTAGAAACCTTAATTAATTCTAATTAATGTAGATGATTTGAGTATGTGCTCATGCATGAGAAATTTGCCCCTTAAGTGTTTCTCTACTGAGTCTTATTAACTACTGACCTGTAAGATCAAAAATGATTTGGCTAAAAGAAGTTAATTCTTCCCTTTCTTAGTGCATTATAAGTAGTTCTTTATCTTTCTGATATCACTCTTAATTATTGAGGACCTTACAGTCCTTTTGCTTACTAAATGTACACTTAGGAGAAAGACTTTAAAGATCAGTAATGTCTAGATATAATTAGGAAAAAAAGTTTGATCTTGTGGACACCCTGAAAGGGTTTCAGAGATCTCTGGGTATCCCTGGACAACATTTTGATTACTTAAAAAAAAAAAATCTCACATTTTATCTGTATGAAAGTAAATGATAAAACGAGCTATATTTGTGTGTTGGCAGAACTTAATAAGAAAAATGGGGAAAGAGGGCTGCATTGAGCATAGGTATAGCTGACTGAAGTGTTTTGGTTTTGTTGTCAAAGCAATTATCCTTCTAGTGTTGCCCTACTCACCTCAAACGTTCTCAGTAGCCAAGTTTGTTTTCTAAGACACATCATGAGTGAGACCCCCCTCCCCCAAATTCAAGTAGCATAGAAAAATAAAAGTGTTATGGATGAAGGGAATGTATCCAGTACCCCTCCCCTACTGCTCCAGCTGGGAAGGGAAGGAAAGGGAAATAAAATTTAATGAGCACTTTTACTATGTGCCAGGTGCTTTACATATGTTATTTCATTTTAATCCCCAAATAACCCTAGGATGTATTTTCTAGCCACATTTTGCAAACAAATAAAGCCAGAGACTGAGATGTTACATAGCGGGCCCAGACAGGCAGCGTTTATGTGACAGAGCTTGAACTGAGTCAAAGTCTCTCTATCACCAAGGCCTATATAGTTCTGTGTCTATGTTTCTGCTTTGTTTTTCTTCAGTTCTTGCAGCTTGATAATGTGAATATTAATGTTTTATTGGGCTCAATGGTAACATGAGGCTGAAACAGTTTGACTGTCCAATGAGGTTTGTTCTCATGGGATTATCTATCTTTAATAGATAATATTTTGTAAAGTCAAATAAATCTATTTAAAAAAAGGTTTAGATAATTTCTTCAGTTTTAGTTATTTGAAAAGAAAAAATTTTCCATGTTTTTTCATAGACTGGAAGATTGCCTCTTTTTGTGTCCTCTGTTCTGTTATACAGAACAGCTAACTATGCCAAAGGAGATTTTGCCTAACCAGCTGATCGCTAGGGTTTATCAGAACTCCAGAAAGGCAGAATCCATGCTCAGGAACATTATTATGTTTCAAGTCATCCAGTACCTAAGAGATACGACTGTTTGGGGTGGAAAGGAGGGTTTCAGGGAAAGATGTCTTACAGCCCTCTAGGGATTGTTGAGAGGAATATTTGCCTTGCTTCTCTGTGCATGCTCAGGTATGATTTAGGACTCACAGAGAGTGGATTTACTTTCTATCTTTCCTTTAATTGTGGTTTTCCAGAAAAGTTCCTGACTAAAATAGATAAAGGAGACTGGAATACCCATTCTGAAACTCTGGAAGAAAACCAAAATGGATAATCTCTGGAAGAAAATAAAAGATTATCTATCATATTACAATTCTCAAAATTTCTTATTGTAACTTCTTTTTAGAAAATGCATTTTAAGTTGATTAATTGGGTAAGAATTATTATGGTACTTTTCTCTTTCCACTAAGTGTTGCTGAATATGAATGATAAGGTCAAATTACACTACTTTGAAAGATTTCTTGTAGTTGAATAGGATTTCATCTAACTCTCTGACCCTTCCTTGAAGAAGATTTCTTCTAACTCTTCTAACCCTTCCTTGAAGAAGATCATAAGTGGGGTTCAGATGCCCCACATTGAACTCTAGCTGTCATCTGGCCATCATTCTCATGAACAACTCTGCAGCTTCCCATAGTTCCCACATGGTGAAGAATCTATGTGAATGAAGGGAAATCTAAAGATATGGTGACGGGCTTGGTGGATTTTATTCAAGTGGAAGGCTGAGAGTGAGCAAGGGTTTTATCTTGTATCTTCAAGTTTCTGTCAGGCACTTGATTCCTTAGATAATGTGTCCTGGAGTTTTCAAAGAGATCCCATCTCCTTTAGGTTTATCCCTGGTCTAAAGGCTAACCTTCCAAACACAGTAAGGGAAGAGGCATAAAGAGGAATTGTCCCTTGGCCAAAAAGGCCAGGACTGACAGGTGACATTGGTGATGGAAGGCAGTTTTTAGTTGAATGCAAGCTGTAGCTAGGGCTCTCCAAGGGGAATTGTTGCCTGTGTGGGGTGAATGTTTCATCTCTGGACCATTATTAGCAGTGTCCATGTGGCTGTTGGTCTGGGAGATTGTGGAGGATTCCTGTGTGGTTCTAAATTAAAGGCTCCTTGCCACTTGGTGATTTCGCGCGCGCACACACACACGCTCAAGCATGAGCGTTTAACAACTTCTATAACCAGCTTTAACTCTATAATGTGAAAGGAAATAGTCGTTATTAACTACTTAGTATGGTATGCATGAGATTTGGTGGGCTTTGCAGTTCCATCAGTAGACACTCATATTATTATATTGGGGGATATGTATGCATGCTATAGAAAGGATTATTAATTAAAACCTTTTTTCTGATCACTGTGAAAGGGAGCCTCCTCATAGTTACAGAGTTGGCTGAAGGAGACTAGTGACTTTCCCTCAATAAAGATGGAGGGAAAGGAGGAGTTTGTTGAGAAGAAAGCAGAGCTGGCCTAATCTACTTTAAAAAGTTAAAAGGGAAAAGCACCATTGATCTAGAGAATTTTTATCCAGTATACCACAGATTCAGAGTAGAGTAATGATGCCTTATTAGTTCTGTAATCTATTTCCTAAAGGAATGAAGGTGATATATGCGATAAGTGTTTTCATATGGCTCTGTAAAATATTTCAGATGTCTCTTGAATACCATTTATTTTTTACCTTTAAGATGTGGGAGGGAGTAGGTATAGGATGGGGTTTGAGTGGCCTGAATGTTTTTACTTGGAAATAAAGGCTGTCATGTTTTTTTCCTGCTGCCATGAAGTACTACACATTTCAAAGAATTAGAACATTTCATAGCATTTGAAGGCAGAAGCTAAATTCTCTCCTCTCTTCCTTTCATTTAGGTTTCCACTTGAGCGGCACAGTAACAGAACCTGCAATACAATCGGAGCCAGAAACTGTTTGCAACGTGGCCATCAGTTTTGATCGTTGCAAGATTACCTCAGTGACCTGCAGCTGTGGAAACAAGGACATATTTTATTGTGCCCATGTTGTGGCACTGTCTTTATACCGCATTCGCAAGCCAGATCAGGTCAAATTGCATCTTCCCATTTCAGAAACTCTCTTTCAAATGAATAGAGACCAACTACAAAAGTTTGTACAGTATTTGATCACAGTGCACCACACAGAAGTTTTGCCAACTGCTCAGAAATTAGCAGATGAAATTCTATCCCAGAATTCAGAAATTAATCAAGTTCATGGTGAGTATAGATATTCATACTATAGATTTCTTTGGATTCTTTTTGGTTTATAAGTTCAATCGTTCATAAAAATTAATTAAATGTGAGTTAGGTCATTGGTATTGCTCTTATTAGACAGCTAAGAGAATTGTAAGAGTGTGTGTGTATGCATGTGTGTGCATGCACACGTGCTTTATATATTTATTATTGTTTTCAGAGAGAAAGAGAAATAGAAACATCATTAATGAGAGAGAATCATTGATCAGCTGCCTCCTGTGTGCCCTCATTGGGGGTTGAGCCCACAACCTAGGCATATGCCCTGACCAAGAATTGAACCATGACCATAGGCCAACACTCAACCACTGAGCCACTGAGCCACACCGGCCAGGCCCAAGTTTTGTTTTGCATTTTAAAACAAGTCAGTTTTGTTCATTCTGCTAGCTACACACATAACCTTTTATGCTTAGAAAAATCTTTCATTTGTTGATGATTGGCTTTTATACTTTTACATTTGGTAAAATTTCATCAAATACTAGATATTAGTTGTGGAAAACACTTAATTTTAACCATTTTATTTACCCATGTCAACTATTATCAGTAAACTGACTTGTGCGTGATCAGAATATTTTTTTCTGTTTTCTTTAAAAATTTATTTTCCAAGACAGAAAATTTGTGACAGAATTCCTCAAAGCAAGAAAATTAATTATTCTTAGAAAAATATTATAACTTGTTTATAGAGACATTAGGATATGCTATTATGAATAAGACATCTCTAAAAGGTTTTCTTTTATACATTGAACATGTGATTTGATTTTTTCTTTACGAAAGATGGCTAGAATGTGAATATTGGGAAGAATATCTTAAGGACAAGGTTTAGCTTATTCAAATTTATTTTAGAAAAAGTCATATAATTTATAAGTAAATACAATTTGGTAGATTTTTTCTTTTTCTAGATAACTTATCCTAATGCTTCTCAAATTCTATTAGTTCCTTTTAATTATTTTGAATATTTAAAAATTTTATATATTTTTTAATTGAAAGTGTGTGAGAGAAAGAGCGATAGAAACATCAATGATGAGAAAATCATTGATCAGTTGCCTCCTGCATGACCCCTGCTGGAGATCGAGTCTGCAACCCAGGCATGTGTTCTGATGGGGAATTAAACTGTGACCTTCTGGTTCATAGGTTGACACTCAACCACTAAGCCACACCAGTTAGGCTGAATATTTTATTTTTTAAATAATTTTATCCTGAGGAATTAAAAGCTTCTTCAAGCCTATTTCATGTACATTGCTCTTCACAATTTTCTTGTAAGCTAGACATTGGGAATTTGTAACTGCAGTAGCTTCTAGATGAAGAAACCAAGGACAATGAGTTAGTGACCCATCCCAAAATCACAGGTAGGAAGTCAGTTGGAATATAGATTTAGTCACCATAATAGTTCAGTTCTTGTTAGTATGCTTTTATACATTTCATTGTTTCTATAAAAGTTTCCATATAACTTTGATTATATTATAAAATTAACCACTCTCTGCTAAATAGTGGCTATAAGATAGTATATGTTAATGGCCCTCCAGGGAGATTGCCAGTTACAGTTTTGCGGTTTTTTAAAAAAAATATATTTTTCCATCACCATTTATCATCCCTTGTCTTCCTCCATCTCCTCCCACCCCCATAGTCACCACACTTTTGCGTGTGTCCATGAGTTCTTTATCTTTTTTTTTTTTTTTTTACAGCTGAGTAGAGTAGTATTTTATTGTGTGTATATGTACCATAGCTATTTTATCTACTCATCTAGTAATGGAGGAAGAGACATTGGCTACTTCCAAATCTTGGCAGTTTTGCATTTTTTAAAATATATTTTTTATTGATTTCAGAGAGGAAAGGAGGAAAGATAGATAGAAACATCAATTATGAGGGAGGATTCAATGATGATGTGGCTGCTTTCTGCACACCCCACAATGGGGATCAAGCCCACAACCTGGGCATGTGCCCTCGACCAGAATCGATGCCAGGACCCTTCAGTTCGTAGGTTGACACTCTTTCCATTGAGCCAAACCAGCTAGGGCCAGTTTTGTATTTTTTAAAAAACAAAATTGTTTACTCTTGGCTTTATATTCTAATTAAACTTTCCAGCTTCCATACTCTTAGAAAAGAGGCTGGTGTCTTTGCTAAGTACTTATTTAGGACATTTGCTGATTTCTAAGTGCTTACCCACTTTCTTAGTTACTTCAACTCAGCCTTTTCTGGTATTGACAATTGGTGAAACTAAAAAGGGTATGATCAATGGGTGGTTGATATAATTAGCAAACAAATTGATATAATTAGCAAATAAATTCTACTAGTGGCCTGGTACAGAGAGTTCATGCACGGGAGTATCCCTCAGCCTGGCTTGCACCCTCTCCAATCTGGGACCCCTTGGGGGATATCCAACTGCCAGTTTAGGCCCGATCCCTGCAGGCCAAAACTGGCAGTTGGACATCCTTCTTGCAATCCAACCTGCTGGCTCCTAACTACTCGCCTGCCTGCCTGATTGTCCCTAACCACTCTGCCTGCTTGCCTGCTCACCCCCAACTGCCCCCCCCCCCACCTGTGAGCCTGATCGCACCCAACTGCCTCTCCTGCCACCCTGCTTGCTCCCATCTGTCCCCTGCCCCTGCTGGCCTGATCACACCTCCAACTGCCCCCCCCACTCCTCCTGGCCTGCTCATCCCAAACTGCTCCCCCCCCCCCCCCCCCCCCGGTCAACCCCAATTGCCCTCCCCTCTTGGCCTAATCATCCCTAACTGCCTCTGCCTCAGCCCTGCTTTGTTCGGAAGGATGTCCGGAAAGCCTCCTAGTTTAATTAGCTTATTACCCTTTTATTAGTATAAATAGAGGCCTGGTGCATGGGTGGGGGCCAGCTGGTCTGCCCTGAAGGGGGTCCCAGGTCAAGGTGGGAGTCCCTTTGGGCGGTGAGGCTGGCCTGGGTAAAGGGCTGATGGCCATTTGCAGGCTGGCCACGCTCCCTTAATGGTGGAGGTCTTGCTAGGGGGCGTGGCCAGCCTGGATGAAGGCTTAGGGCCGTTTGAGAGTGGTTTGCAGGCTGGCCAAGTCCCTGGCTTTGTCTGGAAGGTCTCCTGATCTAATTAGCATATTACTTTTTTATTAGTATAGAGAGGAGAGAATAAAGACTAATTTTTTCTCTTGTGAAATGCTCATTATCTTCTCTAACAATTTTGTAAGAATTTTAGTGATGTAACATATGCATGTATAATAACAAATAATCTATAATAATAAATGGGTAATATGTTAATTAGATGGGATGTCCTTCTGGATATCATTCCAGACGTCTAGGGCAGGTGGGAAGCAGCCCAACTCCTGGGTGTCAGAGGGAAGCCAGTGCCGGTAGCAGGGAAAGGAAGCCCTACTCTTGCACAGATTTTTGTGCATCAGGCCTCTAATAATACTAATAATATAACCTAATATAACCAAGTTTACCTCCTGTTGGGATTTCTGAAAGAAGCTTCTCATAGTTAAGAAGAGAGAAGAAACCAATTGGAGGAATGGATGATATTACATGAGTTGGAAGTCAGCTTGCTTTTCTCTGACTTTCTGGCACATATTTCCTCTTTTAATTTTTCTCTTGTGCTCTTCTTTTAGCGACCTTTTTATGGGCTAGCGTGTACCAGGCAGACAACAATAGACAGTGACAGGCTAAGGGGAAGCTGTGACATTGGAACAATGGGAAAGGGGGTTTATTTCCAGGGCTGACGAATCCTAAAAGTAGGCTAGACTCATCCCTTACTCACTGCAATAACCCCAAATATACCATCTCAGTCAGCCAGATGTAGAAAGGATGTATTCACATGTCCATGAGGGCTGGCACACGGATATCTATGACCTCTTTTATTTTAATTCTGTGATTCTTTGGTAGTAGTATTTCTGCAGAAATCCAAGAGGCACCTACGATCTTACTGCAAAGGTGTACCTCTTGTACTTCTACCCACTTTTGTTTGTATAATTTTCTTACATCAAATATTTCAATTTGTTTGAGAGTTGTTATTAAATTAACACCATCAATTCCATTCATGCCTGACTGTCCCACTAAATTTAGCCTCTGGAATGCCTCTGTCTCTCCATGTGTTATATATATAATCTATTTAGGCTCCCCTAGATATTACCAAGCCAACACAAACTTACTTAGTTCCATGTTAATGTGTAGCTTATGTGTCCTTGATTGTAAGCTTCATCAGGGTTAAAATTATGGTCTGAGTGTCATGGTAGCCTTTCTAAGGACAATACTTAAGAAGTAATAGGGCCATGCCTGAGGAGCTCAGTTTCTTAGAGTGTCATCCTGATATGCCAAGGTTGTGGGTTCAGTCACTGGTCAGGGAACATACAAGTATCAATCAATGAATGCATAAGTAAGTGGTACAACAAATCACTACTTATCCCTCTTGCTCTCCCTCTTTCTCTCTTCCTTCCTCTTTAAAATCAATAAATTTTTAAAAAGTAATAGGACTTAGCACTTTATTAAGTAAAAAGTAAAACTTCTTTTTTTCATTTCATTTTGTTCTGAATATAAATTTAGAGATTTCTTCTTACACACAGACATGTTCCAAATCTAACAGTGAGAGAAAGTTGGAGTTGTTTGGAGGTTTCATGTCACATCTTTCTTCCTTTTGTTTTCCTGTGGAAGGTCCTACTCATTGTAGTTGGACTTGCTATTGCTATTGGCAACCAGTTTTTGCAAGTATCCTAGGGAGTTAATTTAGTTATTATAAGCATGTACTGTATATTGTAGAACATTGATAAAACAAAGGTCTTATCAACTGGTCAATATAATTAGCAAATACATTCTGTAGGCGAGAGTAAAGTTGCTTTAAATATGTTATATCAAAGTGCAGTGTTGTGAAACTTAACGTTTTTAAAAATAAGACTGTATCTTGGAAAAATGTATAGAAGTATGTGAACATGGAAAGACAAGTCCTCATTGGCTCCCCACTCCCAAGAGCCTCTTCCCTTAGTCTCCCTGCTCC